TTTTATATATTCACTCGAAAAATCCCTGTGTTAATGGTAAAATGCTATATTAGTCCACCCGTGTAGCTCAGCGGTAGCGCAGGTACCTCTTACGCAATAGGTCCCGGATTCGATCCCCGGTTCAGGCAAGACTAAATTTGCTTGTTTGCGTGAAGTACTTCAGGGTGTTTGACTGAGTGGTCCCCAACTCGTACAAAAGGCTGTGGTGTGTACTTGTATGTCTATGTATAAGTGCACATAAAAGAACACAGGGCTCCTTCAAGGAGGGGTTTCTGGGTCTCTCTTCCATGTTAATTACGTAAATTACGACCCTATATATACGGGACATACCCAAGAGGTATTGCTCACCTTCATTGGTGGTAAACAAAATACAATACAATATAGCAAAACGAAAAGTTCTACTTACACTGATCTTGTTAAGGTACATATTTCCTAAGTTCAAAATTGTTACTAAAAGAAAAGAATTATGGATGGTGACAGATATTTATTTTTTATTATTTATATTTATTCACATTGTTCAATCGTGGAAATATTTTAGAATATTCATGTTCAGTTTTGTTTTCTTGGCCGTGGGCGGATTTTCCTGTTCTCTCAAATATTCCCACATTTATTTTCTCGAATTTTTTGATTGATTAAGTGGATGCTCCTTCCCTTTTTAAACCATCAAACAGATCCCGATTGTATGTGTTTTCTCCATTGTCGTTTACAGTCATTACGCAAACGTTACAAGTTATGAACAAATATGCGAGCGGCGATTATGACGTAGCGGGCAGATATACTATATCTGCCCGCTCAGAGCGGGACGTAAAGCTATATCTGCCCGCTGATGAAAATATAAGTTTTTACAAACCGGCTTTATGTACCTGTAACACGTCCAAGTATGGGATAAACATATTTATCCCACGATTAATGTGTTATCTGTACAATAACAGCTATTGATATTTCTGATATTATTGAAATCCGTGTGATATTTTCCAGAAAATCGTTTATCAAACTCATATGCGTGTGATATCGTTTATCTCACGCATATCCGTGTGATATCACATTTGCATTTCGCGCCACAATATTGTTGGAAATTAGGTCAGACAATTTATTTTCTTTTGAGAAAATAGGTCTGCCAGTGTCCTGGAAATTGGATCAGTACATCACAAGGTGATTGTAATCATGGGATAAACCCAATATCACATAATTACTCGTGATATCATTTTATCGCCTCGTAGATATCAAATATCACCACTCATTCGCTTCGCTCACTCGTGTTGATATTTGATATCAACTCGGCGATAAAAATGATATCACTCAAAATGATGTGATATTCTGTATATATCCCCCGCTGTATATCTCTCGCTCCAATATTCCGGGGAAAACGTTTTTGTCCAGTGTAGAAACAGTCAATTTTTTATGTTATATCTTGCAAAAGCGAAACTGTCAAAATGGATGCAGCAGATGGTAGCATTTCTTTTGACCAAATTGTTGATGTTTTTTTCGAAAATAATGAGAATGAGAACACTTTAAAAAACAAATCTGCACTATTGGTGTCTTAAAAACCGCACTCGTGAAATCTTACTTGTCATGAGATAAATCAGTTATGCGATGCTCGGTTTTTAATATGGGGTATATCCCTCGGGAAATATGATATCTTACCTCGGACCGTCCGGGCCCTCGGTAAGATATCTATATTCCCCTTAGCAAGATAGGATATATCCCAAATACAGAACCTTCCATAACCCTCATTTATCCCATGGTTGCAAGGATATAGATCGAATATCACCTGAAGATATGTTTGATATGTGGATCAAGATATCATATTTTAGCAAAAAACAACCATCGAATATCACTTTTGAAACCATCGAATCTCACTTTTTCATATTAGAAATGTTGAAACCATCGAGTATCACTTTTTATATTAAATGTGATATTCCATGGTTTCAAAAGTGATATTTGATGGTTTCGATTTTTTAAAATTTTCGTATACTTTACATCAAACAACTGATCAACAGAACAAAACAGTCTGGCATGTAAAGGAGAAAGCGAAATAGTCTAGTCTGCCGGAACAGTATGGCTTTCACATAAGTGATACAATAATGGCAATACGAATTACCATTATTTCATACTTGAAATTATCTGCAACTTTACCCATAGGATTCGTTATTTATTGAACCATGACACATACACAGCTATTCGACAGATATGTTACTTTTAAATTAATAACATAAATATACAGCACATTGCTTTTTTAGTCATTTATCAATGGTTCAAAACTCACGTTCCAACCAACCTGTAAAGTGCCAAATTATATCTATATATCTATATTCCCCTTAGCAAGATAGGATATATCCCAAATACAGAACCTTCCATAACCCTCATTTATCCCATGGTTGCAAGGATATAGATCGAATATCACCTGAAGATATGTTTGATATGTGGATCAAGATATCATATTTTAGCAAAAAACAACCATCGAATATCACTTTTGAAACCATCGAATCTCACTTTTTCATATTAGAAATCTTGAAACCATCGAGTATCACTTTTTATATTAAATGTGATATTCCATGGTTTCAAAAGTGATATTTGATGGTTTCAATTTTTTAAAATTTTCGTATACTTTACATCAAACAACTGATCAACAGAACAAAACAGTCTGGCATGTAAAGGAGAAAGCGAAATAGTCTAGTCTGCCGGAACAGTATGGCTTTCACATAAGTGATACAATAATGGCAATACGAATTGCCATTATTTCATACTTGAAATTATCTGCAACTTTACCCATAGGATTCGTTATTTATTGAACCATGACACATACACAGCTATTCGACAGATATGTTACTTTTAAATTAATAACATAAATATACAGCACATTGCTTTTTTAGTCATTTATCAATGGTTCAAAACTCACGTTCCAACCAACCTGTAAAGTGCCAAATTCACGTCTTGCCGCTCTTGTAAAATGAATGAGACCGTGAAATAAATAGTACATAGTAGCCGAGACAACACAAGTCCCAAGTCTGTATTTTTACTCTCATTTCTTCACTTTTAAGAGTTAAGTCATCATATTTTGCATGCATATTCCTTGAAGAAATCCTAACATAGAATTTTATTGGTTTCGATTATAATTTATTTGTTAAAAATAGAGAAACATTTGATTTGTATTGGTCCATAATCAGAATTATCCATTTTGTGTAACAAATGCAACATTTTGACGTCATTAATAAAAATTGAAGTTATAAATGATAGATACAATATGGTGTCTCTAATCTTATTGACAATAACTATCATCCTAGATATTTTTTGCCAGTCATCAGATCATGCATTGGAAGAGTACCCCAATGAGAAATGCATTCATTGATTGTGGCAAGCAGTGAATTGGCAAAACAGTGGTGGAGTCACACCATTATTTTGCCGCATTTTGGTGCTTAATTTCCCCATTAAGATCGTTTGTTACTTCTTTGACGTCACAATATAGCATCTGACGTCATAATACGGGTACCAAATTAACGCACACATTACAAGCTTTAAGATGATACCAAATATGTCATCATTCATTTGATTAAAATGGTTACTGGAATAAGCCCAAAGGGTATACCACTCCCCTACCCCATCCATTTTTCAGGAAATTAAAACATGCCAAAAATCTCAAATAATGCAGGCATCTTCAGGGGTCCTTTTTGGCCCCGTTTTATTTCATATATCATGTTTCTGCATACCATTTTTCTCGGATATGTCTCAATTACCCCAAAATAGTTACACTTCTGCTGAAAAAGGAAACATGTGGTCAATTTGGAATTATTACACCAAAAGTAGTGATTTTTTATATAAAGTTAAAATAATGCATGTGTCGCTGAAAATGGCAAATTTTGATTATAGACCAATCAGAATAAAATGTTTCTCTATTTTCGACAAATAAGTTATAATCAAAACCAATAAAATTCTATGTTAGGATTTCTGCAAGGAATATGCATGCAAAATGTGGTGACTTAACTCTTAAAAGTGAAGAAATGAGAGTAAAAATACAGAATTGGGACTTGTGTTGTCTCGGCTACTAGTTATGTAATACTGATCTCACTCACAATCCTTCGCGTACAGGTTCACAACAAGACGACAAAAACACCCAGCGCTATTGAATTGACACGTCAACGGGATTATAAAACAAGTCAGACGTGTCGAATGGAGCATAAAGTTACATGATTTGTTGCGCGCGCATCATGTTTCACGTACAGGTACAAGTACAGGTTACTATTTGGTGCAATCTTAAGGTCTCTAATATACCAAGTATTGTCAGCAATTGCAAGACATGATGCTCAATATTCACGAGGCAACCCGAAATAATATTCAATTGGCAAGTGATAGGCAAAAGAGGGGCTATGATTTGAAAACCAATCTGAAAGCATATGAGAAAGATTCGCTAGTTTGGGTTCATATTCCGGCTGTGAAAGTGGGTCGAACGCCGAAATTTGCGCTCAAATGGCATGGTCCATATCAGGTAGTTGAAAAATTAGATGATCTACGTTATCTCATCAAAATTACTGAAAAAGAAAAGAGAGTCATTCACCACGACAGATTAAAGAAGTATGTTTCCAAAGTTCAGGAAAAATCCACCCCGGAACTTGAAACAACTAGGGATGATGAAACTCCCGGGTCAGATGTCAATGAACCTATCCAGGTCACGGGAAAAAGGGGACGGGAAGGCAAGAAAAAACCAGGGTGGCTAGACGAGTATGAGACCTATTAGGGTTACTTGGGAGGAGAGTCAGGCGGAATAATCTAGATATATATTTATAATTATTATTGATCATATTAACCACCATTGTAATGAAAAGTGCCTTTAGAGCCGCTCAGGGGTAAAAGTTTGCCCAGGAGTGGAGAGAAAGGCAGGGACGCCAGTAAATGTCTTTGTTTTCTTTCAGGACTGTAGGGAACAGATCCCACCCCCAAGTGGTTGGAACCTGGGACGGCCCTACCTGTGCTGGAAGGTTTATGAAACTCAAGCAGCCTTGGATGTGCACATTGCTTGTGCACATAGGGAAACCGAGGAATGTGGCGTGTGGGGGTGTGGGGGTGTGGGGCACGTTATTGCCCCAATGATGTGGAGAAGTTGAAATTACATCGTTTGCGTCAACATGCATTGTCACCAAGGAGGGGGGACGAACCCCCGAGCAAGAGGCCAAAAACTGTGTTGCGGGCCGTCACCTTGGTGGGCAACCCTAAACAACCAGATTTATCCACTACTAACCCACTGGCATCTATGGCGCCGACGGGTAGTACAACTTCCGCAACCTTGGCCACAACAACAACAACTTCTACTCCTGTGGTTCCCATACCGTCCACCTCAATTGGCCAGGCGGGGGGTTCCGGGGATAGAAAAGATCCCCTTTGTTCCGGGTTAGAAGAAGACCTCCTAGATTGGGTGCAGAGTTGCTTAGACAAGGAAGATGAGGCAGGCAACGACGGGGACTGGTCGATTGGGACCCCGGAGCCTTTGTGTTTGATTTGGATTGCTAAGAAGTCTGTGCTGAAGTGACAATTATAAATACCATGAACTTTTCTGAACTGTGAATTGGCTGCAAAATTTTACTTTATACCTTTTTGGATTTTTGAGATTAATTTAACTTTTTAAGCTGGAAAAATGTACCTTTTTGATAATGTTTATTTGAATTATACCTTTTTTGGACTGTTAAAATTTTTGGGAACTGTAATATAATGTAAATAATAGAAGTAGTGAGCAGAATGTGTAGTTATTGTCTTGAATCTCTGGCGTTTGAGGGCAAACGCATTTTTTCTTTAAGGGGGGCAGTTGTAGAGACCCACTCTACCTATTAAAGCACAAAGGGCAAAATAGGGAAAATGCAGTATGGTTTTAAAATCCCTTGAATGGTCTGTGGTTTTGGAAAGTATAAATTGCTTGTTGTATTTTGTGGAATAATCCAAGAGCATTGGGAGTTAATGGGGACATTCTGGGTAGTAAATTGTTTTGTTGTTGTTAAAAAACATTTATATCTACATCAAGTTTATTTTAGAGCATTTATGGTCACTTCAGTGTATAAATACCAAAATAACCAGCATATACTTATCTTGGAGGAGGACATATAATTCTCACGAAGATATTTTGCAGGTTTGGAGTAGGAAAACCCATGACGTGTCGCAAAAAGGTGTCGCAAAAAGGTGGCGCATTCGTTTTTTAAGGGTATCGCGTGAATGTTAGTTTGATTCCCCGGATTATAAGATAATATTCTAATTAAAGTTATATATCATTTTAAAGCTGTTTCGATGAAGTTTTTAGATCAACTATACTCCGTTCACGATTCTTGCGCGTTCTCTTTTAAAAAAAGTTTTATACCAAAACATCTGGCAAATATCCCCTGTTGACACGTTACATTTTGATTTATTTTTCGTCTTTAAACGCTCATAACTCAAATAATATATGACTATTATACTTATTTTTCATCTTGATAAAGGTAGATGGAAGTTTTATTTCAAAGGATGAATTTTAGTAAGCGTCCCATATTGTGACGTCATAGAGTTTGAAAAATAGATTCTGTTGACAGCGACCTTTTTTGCTCATTTTTTGTTACCTTCAACTTTTCAGGTGTACATTAAACAAAAAATACGAGATCAATTGTTAATAAATCATACATGATTATTTTGCTCTTAACTCAAGTTTATTAATAAATAGTTGATTTTGTTCGCAAAAGTATGTGTTTTCTGTTGTATGTGGAAAAGTGGAGGACGAAAGGTTTTCAAAATTCATTAAAATAGGGCTAATTTACGCCATTCGCCTATTTTCAAGCACAGCAACATGTATATTTATTTCACCTAAAATATCAATTGATTCGTGATTTATGATGCTCCTATCCCATTGTTAATACATATACGATATCAGAGTTATTCGCCTTAAATATTTTGAGATATAGAGGCAAATGTGGAGGACGAAATGATTTCCATATGTGTACATTTTTCTCAAAAAACGTCACATTTTGTGGTGCTAAAAAGCGAAAATGTGTAACAATGCGTGTGCGACCTTTTTGCGACACGTCCAATCAAAATAACTATCAAAATAACCAGCATCTCGGAGGAGGACGTATAATTCTCACGAAGATATTTTGGAGGTTTGAAGTAGGAAAACATACTTACTGTACGGCTATTTTCACTGTTTCAGTATTTTGCAAAATTAAATACTTAACTCGAACCTCAGAAAAAAAGAAAAAAGAAGAAAATATGGAAGTCTGTTGAAATGTGTAAAACCTTAAAAATAATTGCGTAACTTTAGAATCAACCCCGAAGACGTTGAATATTAAAGGATTGAAAAATAGTTAGCGTTCAGTAAATTACTTTTCCTACTCCGAACCCTCTGGAAAGTTCCTACTCTTTTTCATGTAAGATGTTGCTATAAAAAGGATGATATTTCTTGTGAAACTTCATCTTAAAATCGCTATAATACAACGACAACAATATTCGCAACATTCGATTTAGCTGAGGCAGATATGGATTTCTACACAGTGACTACGATATTCTTAACTGTGGCGACGGTGTTAAAATTTTCTAAGACTGCAAAGGGAAGGAAAACTTGTGTTTTGGAAGATGGAGAACGAGCGCTGAAACTTCCCATTACCTTTTTTCGGAAGATTCTAAAGATGAAAGTTGCCCTCAAGGCATGGACAGATAGTTTATCGGTTTGTGAAATGAAGAAATGCAAAATTATATCATCAAACTGTTTCGTGACCGGAGATGCTGAATGGGTAACGTTAGTACGTCAGAACGGCAATTTCAGCAGACAGATCAAAATATGCATGGAGGCATGGCAAGCGCTTCTGGGAGCGACAGAACAAATAAGAATTAACATTAAACCCACAGCCCATAAAATCACCATGTCCAGGGAACAGAATGACGACGACATCTCCATGTATAGAATCATTCACGGTTTTGAGAAAGGGGAATGGTCCAGCGACTTTTCATCAGTGAAGATGCGATGCATGGAACACAACTTGCGAGATGTTTCCATTGATGTGTATCCCCTGAAAAAAACAGATCTCCATCGTGTTGTTATTGGAACTATGACTCACATCGTCTCTTGGCATTGCGACGCATTATATCTCTCAAGGTAATTTTTATCCTGTATTAATATTATCATTATTGTTATTATTTTAGCCTATGATTATTTTTATTACATTATTACAATTGTTTCATTTTAATCTAAAATTGATTTGGTTTTCCCCTTTCACATATGCTTTCAGCATCGATTCCCGCACGCCAGAAAACGAGATCTATGAAAAGACCGAACTTGTAGCTGAGTATCTAAAAGAAGCATGGGAAGGTGTACAGTTTGGACTAGTTAAAGAAGTATGCTATGAATTGATGCGTAGAATTGGATTAGATGCTGACCCAGAGGAACTTGACCAGGAAATTAACATGTGTTATAATTCCGAAGTTATTGACAAACAATTTCTTTATTCTTTTTATTCACCAAGAGGTCGAAGAAGAATGAAGGTTTCAAAAAATGCAAACTTAATACTAGAGTTAGCCTCATTTATACAACCAAAATTACTTTATGTTACATTTGCTCAAACAGTTTAGACCTAGCCAGAGTATTTAGTGGACTAAAGGTTTTAATGCTTGTCGAATATGTTGAGATATAGAGTTCCAGATTTGCTAACCTTGAAATTTTATTTTTAGAGGCCAACATTTGTTTTGAATTTAAGGGCATGAATATCATGTGAATGTCTTGTTTGGTGTGGATGAATGTCATGATTTAATGTAAAATAGTTTTTAAAAAATCTCATGGTGGACTGATAAATTGTTTAAATGGAGCAACCTATCATGGATTATATTTGCAGCTTTGAGGATTGTCAAAAACGTTTTAAAAAGAAACAAGCCTCCAAAACCACAAGTCAAAAGTTCATAGAAATATAAGTATGCACTGTTATATATGCAACAAAAAATTAAAATGTAAATATAATCTTTCGAGGCATTTGAAAATACATTCTGGTGAGTGCTTTTATTTTATTTGTTGTAAACAAAAGTGAAGTAAGGTCCGAGTAAATTAATAAAGTGTTTAGCATCAGGACAAAATTTCAAAATGATGAGGGAACGTGGCTTTCACTTTGTATACTTACCCTGGCCTTATGTTAGCTACTGTTTTTGTAACTGTCTTAAATGGTTTTGATTTATTTACTTTTTTCTCTAGAGGTGTTTTGTGAAAAGTGTGGTGAATTCGAAAAGTTTTGTGTGTGTACCGAACGCAGTGAACAGAAATATATTTGGGAAGGTGAGCGTTTTAAAAAGCTATTTCAATGTATTAAACATTATAGATGCGTAAATTCGTAACAACAACAACAACATGTTCATTTTTCATAATCTACTGTTCGCATTGTATATTCTCTAGATGTGTGGCCTCTGCAATCATCATCACCATCCCAAGCAACCTTTCTTGCTGCACGCCACCCACAACCACTCATGGAGCCAGGAAAGGGGAGATGGATATTGGAAAAAGTGGATGGATCTGTATGTGAACAGGAAGATGATTGGGAGATAACGCATACAAACATTTTGCTTTCATGATGTTGTTTGTTTCCCTGCTGCAACAAAAGAAGCTTTGTACATACAAATTCACATCCAAATTCACAGGGCACAAAGTCCTCTGAGTTTACACTCCGTACATACCTTACCAGTGGGACTAAATGGACATTCAGTTACAAAATTTATGAAATTACCTATTTAATTGGGATAAGTGATATCACTGACCTATATATTGAGTTGTCTTCAACAAAATATTTGTTAACCTAGCTATTCTGTACAACCAAATGTGCCATTTCACTTTTGCTTTTCGGATGACAAAATTGCACAACATTTGAGAGTTGAAGATTTGCATGATCTTGATCTTGCTCTTTTTGTACTTAATAAAAGGCAACGTTCAATTATCATGAAGCTAGGGAAGCTACATGGTGTCCGGAAAGTAAAGATACAAATACTCTCATTTTAAGAGACTTTAATTTTTTGTAATGAAATTGCTACAGATTGCAGAGGAACTTTATAACAATATATCTACCAACTTTCATCTCATAATATCTAAATTTATTAAAGTTATGGTTGTCATGGTTACAGTGGTGAGGGGTATGCGGAGCAGTTCCAGGATATCGCTAAAATGTGATAAATTGCTAAAATATAACCATTTGAAACAGTGTTTATTATTGTACTTTCTATCAATGTTTTGTTTTGCTCAATATTGTGTTCTTGCTGCCAAAGTATTCTCTTTAGTATAATGATATCATTGATACATATCTGAATCATGTAGTGTCACTAATCATTATAATCAAAGAACAAATATATAAGTGCTCAGAAAAAAGGTCCCTGGTTTAAAAGGAAAGCCAATAGTGAACCTCTACAACGCACAGATTCACAAAGCAAAGAAAAAAAATTTACAATTGAATGTCTTGACATTAAACCTCTTTGTACAATGGCCCATATTCCCCTGATAATATCACGTTAGATTTCTACATTAATGAATATCTGAAAGCAATATTTGGTAGACGTTCAAGATAAATATGAGACTGGGCTGGAACCCAATGTTATCAGGAATCTGAGAGATGGACAGCATTGGTTTTGTCAAGTCTTTTAATTTCCGGTCAAGAAGGCACCATGTATGTTTATATAATGGTGGGAAATACATTATACTGGATAACAGTAGTAATGTCAAATGACCAAATAATGTTACTGTACTAATCATTATGTTGTTGTGATACATAATTTGATATAAAATCGGAACAAATGATGAAGTGCCAAGATATTATGAGCAGGAAAAAGAATTATAAAACATAATTGTGACACTGCTCCACATATTCCCAACTCCTATTACCATAACTTTTTCATTTTGAAACAATATGTCATGACAGTTGCAGGATAAATTGTTATAATGTCATTCTACAATCTGTATTAATTTCACCTCACAACAAGCAAATCTATTGAAATTAGAGCACTCATATCTTTACTTTCCGGACACCCTGTAATAGCAAAATGTACAAAGATAAAACAAACTCAGTTATCAAATAACCCAATGATTGAGATGGCAAAAACCAATCTTTAGACACTCATTTTTCTCAATTGTTGACCTTTTCAACAACATAACAATTATTATAACAATTAAATTGTACATTGCAAATGGAATGTATTTGTCATATATGCCTACAAGAGGATGGCATAATAATTGGACCCCTGTTTTACCCTGCCATATTCTCCTAAAACTCCAGAGGATTTTGCTTAATTTGTAAAAACAAATCAAGAACTGTCTTTATTACTATTTCTGAGCATTGGAAACATAAAACCTTAACGAATTGTTTTTAGGAATTATTGGTTGACACTAGTAATGACAATGACATAGGGAGAATCTGCCTTTCAGTACACCAGGAACAAAACAAGGACAATCTTCTGTCAAATGCAGATAAACAACAAAAAACCTGATGTTCCAGTTTTCGAAAATTATTAATCTTCTTTGATATATGCACCAGAGGAATAAAGCTTAAGATGGCCCACATGATATTTCTTCTGTATTTCAGTATAATGCTACAACAATTTTATTGATCCGATTTTGAATAGCCAATTTGGAGTATTCTTTAATCCTGTCAAGAAATATCATCTTTGTTATAGTTTGGGACTCAAATGGCCCTCACAGATAAAAGAAAACCTGGCTCAAGAGATTTATTGTGTGACAAATAGCCTTATTGAAACAATCATCTACGTATCAATCCCTCTCAACCATATACACTTGTTTAAGAGCAAAACATATCATGAAACAGATGGACTTGAACTTCATATACAAAAGATGACAACAAACATGCAATAATCTCTCCCTAAATTGGAAGATAGTAGCAAAAAGAGAGCGTTATTACTTTCAATTTGTAAACAATTTAACACAGAGTTTTAAAGCATTAGGACATCTCCATGACTGGGGACAGACCTCCTGTGTTTATGGAGAAAAGTTAGAATCTTCAGAAGAAAGTAGAATTTCTGACGGATTTTGCCTCACCAAAAAGAATAATATTCCGAGGAGGATATCGTTCGATTCTGAGATGGAGGATTCTACAATGTGCTGAGATTTAGAACCAGATAAATGGAAAGGGAAAAGGTGATTTGACAAAATTTTAGAAAAGCTATTGAACAATGAAGTTATAAAGTTGTTATAAAGTATTAAAGAGAAATTGTAATTCAGGAAATTGAAAATAAGAATTTAGACTGAAATAATAAAGAAGGAAAGACAATAAAATAATTTAGTCTTATGTTGAGGGAGTTTCATGATATAGGAGAGAAGGGTCAAGACAGACACTTTTTGTAGATCTTAAGATGCAAGGGGAAGGGGAAGCTGAACCCATGGTTGTTGGTGAGGAACATACTACTCTCCAAATCTCATCTGAAGAAGACCAGCCGTGTTATCCTCCAAGATGGTGGCATTGATGAACCATTGCGAACTATATATAGAAACTACAGCAGAATCATTCATTCCTCTCATGAAAGAGGTAATGTCATCCTTAACACATGAAATGGAGGAAAGAAACATTTATGTGAAAAATTGATTGATCACACTAATTTCTATATTATCTCTGAAGTTAGCGTGATATAACAAAGTCATGAAGCAAATGTTTATTTCAATGTTTTTTCCTATTTGCAATCAGATTAACAGCCACAACGATGCAGGCAAAAGAATTAAGTGTGAATTCTGCAAAAAAACTTTCAGCAAAAACCAAAATAATTACAGTTACGTGAGAGGAGTATGCCTCAAAATTTGACATACATGTTTTATTTGCAAGAAAAAATTCACCCGTGTTACTTACACATTGATGAACAACATATTGGCATGAACGAATCATTTGAAGCATTTTCCCCTATTAATCTAGAATCATAACAAAATGCCTCGGATGCTGTGTGATAATATTTGTAGAAAAAATTTAATTCATTGTCTAATCTCAATCTTCATAAAAGAAGTATCCATTCATCAAAACGTTAAAGGTGTACTGCTTTTTCAAAAGGAATTTAACAGAGCCTACAACTTACAAAAAACATAGGTCTAAAAATAAAGACTGCACCAAGCAAAATGTGACACTGTCGTATGATGATAACACTTAGCAGGGGAAGCTGAACCAATGGATGTTGATGATGAAAAATACATCCAGCCGAAGGAGGTATTCTAATGCACAAATTGTAAACAATTTAACACAGAATGGTATAGCATTAGGACATCTCCATGACAGGGGACAGACCTCCTGTGGTGTTTGTTTATGGTGAAACGTATCTTGCATCTCAGAAGAAAGTAGAATTTCTGACGGATTTTGCCTCACCAAAAGAATATTCCGAGGAGGATATCGTTCTATTCTGAGATGGAGGATTCTACAATGTGCTGAGATTTAGAACAATATAAATAGAAAGGGAAAACGGTGATTTGACAGAATTTTAGAAAAGCTATTGAAAAATGAAGTTATAAAGTTGTTATAAAGTATTAAAGAGAAATTGTAAAATTACAAAAAATTGAAAATAAGAATTTAGACTGAAATAATAAAGGAGGAAAGACAATAAAATAATTTAGTCTTATGTTGAGGGAGTTTCATAATATAAGAGAGAAGGGTCAAGATGGACACTTTTTGTAGATTTTTAGATGCAGGGGGAAGGGGAAGCTGAACCCATGGTTGTTGATGTTGAATATACTACTCCCTAAATCTCATCTGAAGAGGACCAGCTGTATATCCTCCAAGATGGTGGCATTGATGAGCCATTGCGAAATATATATAGAAACTACAGCAGAATCATTCATTCCTCTCATGAAAGAGGTAATGTCATCCTTAACACATGAAATGGAGGTAAGAAACGTTTATATGAATAATTGATTGATCACACTAATTTCTATATTATCTCTTATGTTAGTGTGATATAACAAAGTCATGAAGCAAATGTTCATTTCAACGTTTTTTCCTGTTTGCTTTCAGATTAACAGCAACAACGATGCTGACAAAAGAATTAAGTGTGAACTCTGCAAAAAAACTTTCAGCAAAAACCACAATAAATACAGACACGTGAGAGAAGTACACCTCCAAATTCGACATACATGTTTTATTTGCAAGAAAAAATTCACCCGTGTTACTTACACATTGATGAACAACATATTGGCATGAACGAATCTTTTGAAGCATTTTCCCTTATTAATCTAGAATCATAACAAAATGTCTCGGATGCTGTGTAATAATATTTGTAGAAAAACATTTAATTCATTGTCTAATCTCAGTCTTCATCAAAGAAATATCCATACATCAAAACATTATAAGTGTGATGCTCTCATAAAAGAGGTAATGTTGATCATCCATGAGTATAACTTTCACCTTCCTTCTGGAACTGTATCCATGGATGATCTTCGCCAACAATTGAATGAAATTATGTCTTCAGACTAAATTTGAGCCTAGGACTTGTCTTGACTCACCGAGACACCGAATTAAGATATTTCACCCACACAACAACCAGTCGATTTTACCCT